GAATACCTAATTGAGTAGTCTGCTGGTCATTTAAAATTATTTTTTGATGATAGGCACTACATGATTGTTAGCATATAACTTAAGTTCAAAGATTGAAAAAAAAATGTCCCATTCTTATCTCAGTATTTACATCTATAAAAATGAAAAATAGTGCCAGGCACTGTGACTCACACCTGTAACCCCAGCTTTTGGGAGGCCGAGGTGGGTGGATCACTTGAGGTCAGAAGTTTGAGGCCAGCTTGGCCAACATGGTGAAACCCCATTTCTACTGAAAATACAAAAATTAGCCAGGCATGGTGGCACACACCTGTAATCCCAGGTACTCAGGAGTCTGAGGCGTGAGAATCACTTGACCCAGGAGGTGGAAGTTGCAGTGAGCCGAGATCGTGTAACTACACTCCAGCCTGGGCAACAGAACAAGACTCCATCTCAAAAAACAAAAGAAAAATAATAGAAATGTGGCAGTAAGTAAATTTTCAGCCATGTTATAAACATGAACTAGTTGAGAAAATAAAGCTATGTCCTTATTGACAGATACATGGCCAATCACTTTATTTTTTATGTTCAACAATTACTTTATCAATGTATAGCTCCTTTTGAACAATTTCATACCAATTGTAATAACTGAATCCAAAATATTTTAAAGTTTAAACTTATAAACATTTTTATAGCAAAGAAGTATGCTAGGATGATCATTAAAATATCAGGGATGAAAATATGTTACGTTAGAATAAAGTGGGTTGGAAATAGAGGTCCAGGAAGAAAAAAAGATGATATAAAATTTCTAACTTAAAAATGAGCTTTTTATTCATGGATGATGGTAGCTATCAAATTGCTATTATGTATAGATTATATTGGATATGTTTTTTAAAGACTGAGATCGTTATTTTTAAATATGCCAGAAATTACATCCTTTATAATTTAAATTTATGATAAAAAATTTAAACATCAATTTAGAAATGTATGAAGTGATACCTAGTTTTCCAAAATCTCTTTGGGAGTATGCAAGTAGAAAATTTGAGGACCACTGACAATATATTCTTAAACTTGAGACACTTCAGTGATCTGGTCTGGTCTCACACCTGTTACGTAATTTGGTTATCCAACTAAATCACACCAGGGGTTTTTAACTTGCCAAATGTGTGTGATTGATTTGGAGGCAATTGTCTTTCCTACACATCTTTTAACTCTCATTCCTAAAACATAGTAAAATATTTCATGACAAAGATTTGGTTCTCCTTCAAGTTTTTCTGCATTAATTTTAGCTCAAATAGCTACAACAGGTTTGCGTACCTTGTCATGATTTTGAAATGCACTATCCATCAAAACTATTATCTCTGGGAGAAATTACAATCTTTAGAAACTACATAAGAAAAAGAAGCAGCAGATTATTTTCCATTTATCTAGAACAAAGGCTTCAAAAAAATGATGAATTGACACTGTGAGCATTTTAAGTTTGGTTCTATTAATGTAAGAATAATTTCACTTTACTTCTGTAATTTAATGTTTTCTCTTTTTTTTTTTTCTTTTGAGACGGAGTTTCTCTCTTGTTACCCAGGCTGGAGTGCAATGGTGCCATCTCGGCTTACCACAACCTCCGCCTCCTGGGTTCAGGCAATTCTCCTGCCCCAGCCTCCTGAGTAGCTGGGATTACAGGCACGCGCCACCATGCCCAGCTAATTTTTTATATTTTTAGTAGAGACGGGGTTTCACCATGTTGACCAGGATGGTCTCAATCTCTTGACCTCGTGATCCACCCGCCTCGGCCTCCCACAGTGCTGGGATTACAGGCTTGAGCCACCGTGCCTGGCCAATGTTTTCTCTTGAGAGTATACCTTGGCAAGCTGCATCATTTTTAAATTTGGCATAGTATTTCATTGTGTGAATGTTACATGATTTATTTAACCTTTGACCTGTTGGTGAACGTTTAGCTTCATCTATTGCTGAACATTTTGCCATTCAGTGCAATTACTGAGTCAAAGAAAATGTGCATATTTAGTTTTAATAGATACAGTACAGCAAAATATCCCTCTGAAAAAGCTTAACAACAGTGCCAATTTCCCTATACCATCCCTACCTGTGGACACTATCAGCCTTTTGACTTTTTGCAGTTTCAAAAGACATCACATGTGCACTCACACACAAAAGCAGTCTTTGCTTAAATGTCACCTTCTTAATGAGGTCATCATGATTTTCCTCTTAAAATTGAAGTACCACCCCCCACCCCCAGCATTCCTTAATCCCCTTTACACTATTTTCTATAGTTCTTACTACCTTCTGGCATGCTGTTCTCTCTTACTCCAGACTGTAGGCTCCCAAAAGGCAAAGGTTTGGGGTTTTGTCCTGTTTATTATGAACAATGCCAGGCACGTGGTAAAAAAAAACTCGCATATTTATTGAATTAAATAGCCATGGCAGTTGTAAAATACACATGAATTTCAACCACAGCTGTTACATTTCTCCTTTTGTCCATCTGTTCCTGATTTAAATACATCTCACCTGACAAGAAAGTGCTCTTAAAAGCAGCAACAACTCCTTAGAGCGCATTACTCTAAGCGAATCACCCATGTCTGGCTACTAGCAGGCCATTTGGGAGAAGGAAATACTGTCGTGCACTGTATAGCAACATGCAGTCAACAGTAGACTTCATATGCAACAGTGGTTCTATAAGATTATGATAAAGCTGAAAAATTCCTATTGCCTAGTGATGTCGTAGCCATTGTAATGCTCATGATGTTGTGGCAGAACACTTTACTTTTTCTGTGTTAAGATACACAAATACCATTGTGTTACAATCGCCTGCTGTATTCAGTAAGGTAACATGGACATGTTTATAGCCTAGGCCCAGTAGACTGTACCATATAGCCTAGGTTTATATTAGGTTATACCATTTAGGTTTGTGTAAGTACACTGTTAGGATGTTTGCACCATGACAGAACCACCTAATGATGCATTTCTCAGAACATATCCCATCATTAAGAAACACATGACTGAACTCTTCCTACTCTGGACTCCCAGGGCAGTTGATTATCAAGAAAGTATAGCTCAGCCAGTGCTGGCCATCCAACCACCACCTTGCTTATTTTAGCCCTTCCCTTCCTGTTTTTTTCCTGCCAATGCCTAAGGGGGCCTAGAAACAAGAACCAACCCTATAAAAACAGAGATTCTACCCAGGCGAGTGACTGGCACTGATCTCCCCCCACTAGACGCAACCCACTCCTACCAGCCCTTTGGCCCCACACCCTTTCCAGTAACAATGGCAGCTTAGTCAAACAACTGAGGTTTGGTAGAGCACCAAGTTTCATTGTTTTTGTCAGGCCAGATTTTGGATGTGAAAGAGGTATCAGACTAAGAGAAAACAAAGAATAGTGACTGAATTCAGAGTAGCTGGAGTTACTTATGCTAAGAGTTGTTCACCTACCACTTTAGCATTTTGGTGATACATGTAACAATCCTTAGCTGCTGTGTACTCCCTTCACATTTATCAACATCTATAATGTCCTCTCTTTCAGTGGCATATCATGTCAGATTTGCTTCAAATAGGGAAGTTTGATCATAATATTTTCACTGTGATGTCTTTAATGGAGAGGCTAGGTGGTGGTTTTGATAGCTCACCTCAAGGCTAATCAGGAGGTCTGTAGTGTTGTTAGCCTTCATCCTAACCTGGAAAAAAGAAAAGCAGTGATCACTAAGTACCACTGGCAGACCTAAAAAAGGAAAGAATATGGTAGGAGCAGCTGTGCAGTCTAAGGAAATCGCACATTGTATTTACTTCATATTCTATTTAAGTGATGAGTTGCTTTATTCCTGGTCCATTACTTATTTCATCTTCTTGCTAGAACAGTATAGGGGTGACGCTTGATGATAAAGTTCTGGAAAGCAGATAGAGGTTTTCAGGAACTCGGACATTCCAGAATAAAAATCTGAGCAAGAGAGATGAAGAGACTTGGATACAGAGGAGGAAGTTTTTATTAGGAATGTCAAAGTAGTGGAGTGGGAATAACAAAGACCAGAAGAAGCTTCACTTGATTGTAATTAATTTGCAGTGGTTGTTAAAGGTAGGCACCAAGCCAGCATCACCACTTTATAAATAATAAACCTGTGGGGGTGATGTTGTGAAAGATGCATGCTAAGGTTGCATCAGCAAGGTGAATCACCGAGTGGGTGGGCCCGTCTAGAAAAGCATGTGTGTTTGGAAAGGGATCATTCTACAGTTTAGTCCAAAACACCTTGAGCATACAGCATAGCAGAATCTTGGCTGTAATACTTCAAGTAAATGTCACTGGCAAAAACGGTACGTTTGCTGGTATGTTCATAACAAATACTCCTGGTTAAGTATTTGCTGGTCCTTTAGCATATAGAATCTCAGTATTAGAGGAAAATAGCAAGCTGAAAGCATACCATATTCCCATTCTTCAGTAGCCAATTTCACCTATTGCATTACTTCATTACAAATTGCAGCTGTGTAGCCAGTAACTGATCCATAGGATGCTTTCTGTTAGGCACAAAGTAGAATCCAGCTGTTAGCTGTTTGTTGAAAGAAGTAGGAATCTTAGGAAATGTTTGCCTGCCACTTCCTCCTTTTCCTAATACCTGCCTCACCCCGCCTCTCAACTGGTGGTCATGTTTTTTTGTCATCCACCATTCAGGAGAAATGCTATCAATGAACCACACTGGCTACACACACATACCTTTTCCTCAGATGATAGTAATCATCTTTGCCTTAAAAACCAAAGCTCTACCAAGTTTTCACTATGAGAGAAAAAAAATTAGAACACCGGGCCTTGTAGTTAACACAACTGATTAATGAAAGTTGACAAGATCTAAATGCCTATACAAACTATCCCAAGGTCACAGGAAATTAATGGCAATATTATGCAAGGTTAGGGTGGTTCACTTTCTATAGGAATTTGGATTTTACTTCTTAAACTACAATGGAAATGACTCAGGCAATCTGCTTTGGCAGTTTATTCTTGAATAACACTGATTTCTCATTCAAGGGGAAAACACTGTATCGAACAACTCCGACATGGCAGAAGTGAAGCCAGTGTTCCGGGAAGTTCTTCCAAAACAAGGTAGTACATCACAAATACAAAGATCATTATTATAGAGACAAACCAAGTGATAGGCAGTGTCACATAGCAGGCTTAATAGCTAAACATCTGCAGCTGTTGTGTTCCATATTGTCTCATTTACTGTTTACTCTTACTGTATGCTTTTCTTATCAGATTATAAAGGAGGGATCCTCACTTTTTTCTTTGTAGTAAAGGGATAACAAATGAAGCATTGTTTCTTATACCTAAAATTGCTAATTACAATATGAATTTTTTTTTTAAGAGACATGTTCTCACCTGGTCACCTAGGCTTGGATACAGTTGGCATAATCATAGCTCACTGCAGCCTTGAACTGCTAGGCTCATGCCCTGGCCTACCGATTTGCTAGGACAGCAGACATGTGCTACCATGCCTGGCTAGTTTGTTTTTGTAGAGACTGGATCTCAATGTGTTGCCAAAGCTGGTCTCGAACCCCTAGGCTCAAATAATCCAACCCCTTTGAGATCCCAAAGTGCTGGGATTACAGGTATGAGCTACCATGCCCGGCTCAATATGAAATTTCAATGAAGGATATAATGGAATTTACTATGTTAAATAAGGTCTGAAAGTGGAGAAAGAGAAACCAACTGTAAGCAACAGAAGAGCTGAAAGTTTAAACAGGCATTTGAATATTTATGTTAAATACCATACTTTGCTATAGTTTTTGCACTACATATATATATTCTGCGCAATCTTATTTTAAAATTAAACTTCTGACACAAAAGTTTTGTCTTATAATAGCATAAATTCTTGGGTAGAAAGTTCAAAACTTGTTTTCCTCAGAAACACCCTAGTATTAAGAAATGCTGCTTATATGGTGACTATGATATTTCTGGTCTCACAGCAAAACTTCAGTTTAGGTACAAGAGTTTTTCAGTGACAACAGATTGATTTTTTTAGATCTTCATTCTAGCTGCAAATCCAACTACCAAACCCACTGGGTTACTTTTCTTAATTCTTATTTCTTATTAAACTTAGGGCCATTGTTTGTGGAAGATATAACCACAATGGTGTTGTGTAAACCCAAACTTTTACCTTTAAAATCTCTGACTCTGGAAAAACTAGAGAAAATGCATCAAGCAGCACAGGATACAATTCGCCAACAAGAAATGGCAGAAAAGGATCAACGGCAAATAACCCACTGAACGGTAACTGAAGCACTTTAGGGAACAACCTGTCTTACCTACTATTTAACAGTAACTAGAAAATGATATGCTTCTGTGTGCTGAAAGTAGTATTTGTTAATATTATCAATAAAATTGATAGTATTAATTACAAAAATACCTAAGATTGATGAAATTTGTATTGTGAATGTAAACACTCTGGTTTGTATTGAACATAAACAGTTACAATGAACCAAATTTTATGGGGTTTTTATTCATGTTTTTAGAATTGCATATTATTTGTTCACCATTCCTGTTGCTATCTCTTATAGATAACATTCTTGGGCACAAGGGACTAATGGATCTTTACATGTTTATTAAAATCTGAATTGGAAGATATATTCCAGTCTTGCATAAAGTGTTTGCTGGGCTTTTACATTATTTAAACAAATTAATTTTAAAAAAATTTTTTTAACCAATTTTATGTGCTGTCATGTTAAATACTATCGTGTGTGACCAGATCCTACCAGTGATGATAAAACTGTATTAAATCTCATTTTGAAGAAACCCTCCCCTATTCTGTAGTCAGCTAAACTTTTAATTACATTAATGTTAAGGACTTGAGAATTACATGACTGTGTTTATCATCCAGATGTCAATTAAAAACCTAAAAATGGAACTATATTTATATAAGCCTAGGTAATATGGGCTTGAAAAAGCCCATGAGGTGAATATGAACATTAAACTTGGTTTTAATTCTAACAGACTGTATCTAAACTTGCCATCGGTATACTCCTAATAGTACCCACATAAATTCTGAATATAATTCTTTGTCGGTTTGCTGCATTCAATATTTGGCAGTTTAGCATAGACCTTGAGGGCTTACTGGGTTATTAGGCTATGTAAAAGTGGTTCAAAGTATGATCATTCTTTTGTTATTAATTGGTAGGTCATATTTTCTCACACATTGGGTAAATGTCAAGCTTTCAGTCTTTGGAGAATAACTTTTTGTAACATTAGCCATTATTTGGTAACAGAATTTAAGAATGAAATGATGGAAGGTATTACATATTTCTAAAACTTAATTAAGCTCTAGATCAGATAACAATGGAGGAAAGTGATACCTGCATTTTTTTCCCTAGTGTAATCTTAATTTACTATTGTAGTTTTCATTTAAAAGTTTGTAGGGAAAAAAAGTTTTCAAGGAACACTAAGATTAAATTCACTACGTTCAAATACGCTTCCTTATGAGATTTAAAATTCGCTGTGTGAAATTAAAGTTTAAAAGACCTAAAATAAATGTACTCCCAATAAAGAATCAACACTGCTTCACATGTTTTATTTTGGTGTACATTCTTCTAGAACCAGGTTCATTTTTCCAGTTTTGTAGAAAAATAGATGTTCCAGCCACTATTTACTTAACTGTCTAGTCTTTTAAGACCAATCAGTATGTTCCCTGGAAAGATGAATAAGTCTCATGACTAATTTTTTTTTAAATTCTTTAAGACAAAGAAATAACTTTCTTTTTTTTTTACTTCCAAAGCACAGTATTTCAACAGCAGCAGCCAACATGGGGTTTTAGCAGCTTAACTTTACCCCCTAAATAAAGCTTTGTATAAACCAGTGATTTTACTACAAAAAACACTGTCCTTGAAAGAAAGGAGTGGCAGTCAGACATCAATGCAAAACTTGGAATGATTAGGTCATAAACATGGCACTTACAAAAGGTAGCTTATTAGAATATTCCACTTAAGAAGAGGTTACTTTTCTGTCCCTCCTTTGCCCCCTCAAAAAAAAAAAAAAAAAAGAAAGAAAAAACATTTCCTTTTAAAATTCCCCTTAAATGTAGGTTTATAAAATGTCAGAAATGCCTTGTACCCAAAACAAGTGCCAAAAAAAAAAAAAAAAACTTGTGCTAACAACTCTTACAATTCAGATATATATTTTTATGATATCTAAGACTGCAAGAGTTCTTATATTCAGTAGCTCTCTGGTTTAAGGCGACCTCCATCTCCTTCGCTTACAAAACGCTTTCTGCCCCTGTAATGAAGAAAAAAAACAAAAACATGAAAACAGATACAATTTCTAACTATAGTCAATTAAAAAATTTAAAAATTTGGTATTTTTTGGTTACATATTAGCTTTTAAAGGGTTTTCCATTAAAAAAAAAAAAGTCAGCATACCTCTAATTCCTTTGGAAAGGATTCCCTACTATATAAGCATAAAACATCAATGTCAAATCTGAGTGTTTTTTTAGTACACTATCCAAATAATCACATTAAAAAAGTTGATACCAAACTAAAGCAAACATTTTATTTAGAAGTTTAATATTTATTTCTACATTATTATTATCTGTAAACTTAACAGTGAGCCAAATAGAAACACTAACATAATTCAGAATTATGCAAACTGGAGCTGTGGAATCTATCAAAATATCCATGTTTGACAATTTAAAAAAATGTTGTATCAGCTGTAAAAAAACCATAACTTGAATGTGGGAAAAACAAATCAGAATTATAGCCTATGCCCCATTTAGAAGGCCTGCTCTATAATATATAAGCCCACACTCTAGCTACATGTAGTGGCAACAGCCCAGAAGGAACAGCTGGACAGTGGCCTACAACAGTAAGTGGGAAACAGAACTTGGGCAACATTAGCTCTTACTCTCTGACCCCAGGCCAACATGCACAAGCATGCAAAACCACACACAAATGTGCACCTCACCCAAATAGGCTAAAAGATAAAAGACAAAAGTCAAAGCAGTATGGTATGTATAAACAGAAAGTTTAGTTATCTCCTCATGTGACCCTTGAGAATAAAGCCACACAGAAACAATCAGACTTTAAAACAGAGACGGAAAAACTTTCGAAAGGCCAATGCCAGGGTACTGGCCACACACTTTCCAGTGAGAACATCCCCACACACAACCACACACCCACTTTCCAGTGAGAACATCCCCACACACAACCACACACCCACTTTCCAGTGAGAACATCTCCACACACACACTTTCCAGTGAGAACATCCCAATACACACCCACACCCGCACTTTCCAGTGAGAACATCCCCATACACCCACACACACTTTCCAGTGAGAACATCCACACACACACACACACACACACACAAACTTTCCAGTGAGAACATCCCCACACACACACACACACTTTCTAGTGAGAATATCCCCCCCACACACTTTCCACTGAGAATATTCCCCACCCCCACACACACTTTCCAGTGAGAACATCCCCACACACACCCACACACACTTTCCAGTGAGAACATCCCCACACACACACTTTCCACTGAAAACATCCCCACACACACTTTCCAGTGAGAATATCCCCACACAACCCCACACACACTTTCCACTGAGAACATCCCCACACGCACCCACACACACATTCGTGAGAACATCCACACACAATCTGCAGTAAGAACATCCACAGACACACATACTTTCCAGTGAGTCCACACACACACACACACAAACACACTTTCCAGTGAGAACATCCACACACACCAACACACACACTTTTCAGTGAGAACATCCACACCCACACACACTTTCCAGTGAGAACATCCACACACACCCAAACACACAATTTCCAGTGAGAACATCCGCACACACACCCACACTTTCCAGTGAGAATATCCATAGACACACACACTTTCCAGTGAGAACATCCAGACACACACTTTCCAGTGAGAACATCCACACACCCACACATACTTTCCAGTGAGTCCACACACACACACACACACACACACTTTCCAGTGAGAACATCCCCCATACACACACTTTCCAGTGGGAACATCCCCATACACCCACACACACACTTTCCACTGAGAACATCCCCACACACCCACACACACACTTTCCAGTGAAAACATCCACACACCCCCCACACACTTTCCAGTGAGAACATCCACACCCACACACACACTTTCCAATGAGAACATACCCACAGACACACTTTCCAGTGGGAACATCCCCACACACCCACACACACACTTTCCACTGAGAACATCCCCACACTTTTCAGTGAGAATATACACACCTTCCAGTGAGAGCATCCCCCCCCACACACTTTCCAGTGAGAACATCCCCATGCCACTACACATACTTTCCAGTGAGGACATCCACATACACACCCACTTTCCAGTGAGAACATCCCATTAGCCTCAATTCTCCACAACCTCTAAAGAAGTCAAGGAAGCCACATACAGTACAGGTAAGAGCCTAGATCTTTAAAGCCAGAAAAGTCCTGGATTCATACTTGGCTTTTACCACATACTAGCCATGTGACCTTAGAAAAGTACATTATACCTTCCTAAGCCTCAATTTTCTCATCTTATTACGGATAATACCTACTCTAAAGTAACACTGAAACTACTTGTAACAAAGGAACTGCTCCACAAAATTAGTTTCCTTCAAATGAACTGGGACTTCATGACGCAGTCCTGTACAGATTTACAAGGGGACTAAAACAACCTTCGCCTTTGTTTTTCCATGAACTCAAAACAAACATGAGTCATGCTCTTCAGTGACTTAAGGGAAGATATTTTTCTGAAAGAGCTGGAATGATAAACTATCTTAGCCCTTAACCTTCCCAAAGACCTCATCCACTATTTAATATTGAGAAAGTAGTATTTAAATAAAGTACCTTGAAGGACAGAGATCTCTGAGTTGTTTGGAAATAATTCCAGCCTGAAAACATTCTTCTACAAACCGCTCCAGCACAGAGTACGAATGTGGGACATCCAGATTAATGTCCGGAATTTCATTATAAATTCTCTCATAACCCTACAACAATGCAATTACACAAAGAATTGTTAGCCCATAATACATGTCATAAAACACAACCCATCACTATGTCATCAATCTACATTTAAGTCCAAATGTTTATATGGTTAAACTGAAGTCAGATTTGAATACTGAGAAGCACAGAAAGTAGATTTGTTACACTGTTTTACTTTAAAACTGTTCTCTCTGTTAAAGTCAGGAAATAACAGACATTGGCAAGTTGTGGAGAAAAGGGAAGGCTTAAAAACACTGTTGGTGGGAATGCAAATTAGTTCAGCCCCTGTAGAAAATGGTTCGGAGATTTCTCAAAGAACTCAAGACAGAATTACCATTCAACCCAACAATCCCATTACTGGGTGTATACCCAAAGGAAAAGAAATCATTCTACCAGAATGACACCTAAATTTGTATATTTATTGGGCACTATTCACAATAGCAAAGACATGGAGTCAACTCAAGTGCCCATCAATGGTGGATTAGACAAAATGTGGTATATATATGTCCATGGAATGCTACACAGCCATAAAAAAGAACGAAATCATGTACTCTGCAGCAATGTGGATGCAGCTGCAGGCCATTACCCTAAGAAAATTATCATAAACATAAAACCAAGTAATGCATGTTCTCACTTATAAGTCGGAGCTAAACACTGGGTACACAGACACATGAAGATGGATGCAATAAACGTTGGGAATTTCAAAAGCGGGGAAAGGGAAAGAGGACAAGAGTTGAAAACTACCTATCAGGTACTATGTTTGCTACCTGAGGGACAGGATCATTAATTAGAAGTCCAAACCTCAGCATCACGCAATATACCCATCTAACAAACCTGCACATGTACCTCTCTGATATCTAAAATTAAAAATATAAATAAATAAGTAAAATTGGTTACATAGCTAAAAAAATTTTTAAATACTGTTCTCTCAAAAGAGCTGCAGGCAGACATCAGATACTGGGCAAACTCCTTTCCCATCTACTTCTCTATATACATTTAGTATCTTAAAAAAAAAAAAATACAAGGCAAACAAAAACCTCACCAACATTTAAACAGCAATACATAAAATTTTAAATAGGAAAAAAGTACTTTATAATGTGTTAAAAGTTCATGTTTCTCTCTAGATAGAAAACAGAAATTGTCGCATCTTAGAAACTGAACCCTTGAGGTAGAATACATTATCACATTTGTTAATATAGGTAGAAAACCCACTGCAGTGTTACTTTCCAAGAAATGGTTGCAAAAGATTCAAACCTCAAACATTACTATTAAGAAAACACAAAATATATAGGCATAATAACACTAAATATACCTAAAGAAAATTTCATTGACAATTAATAATCTTTATTCAATCATATATTTAAAGCATAATCCTAAAAATTGTTGAAAAATAATGTTATACTTACTCTTTTCATTTGGTCTACAGTAATGGTAGAAGACATCCAAAGGGACTTTAATAAATCCAAAATCATCTTAAATGTACTTTCTCCGGTTGACTCTAAAACCATTATAATAGCCTAAAAATTGAATGAATGAATGAGTGAATTTTTGGTTATTCATATACAAAACTGCTCCTAAAACGTACCAGATGCGTTTTGTAATCATAAAAATTTAAAAACCAATTCCTCCTTTGACATTAAAAAGAAGATGTATATTATTTAAAAAGCATAAATCACTGTAGTACAACATGAAATATTTAATTCTCTTTGACATGGCAAGGTAATCTTACTTCATATACAAGCTCATGGTGAAAATGAGGTACTTCCAGTTCCTTAAGGCAATGTTCAGCTTCAGATATATCTCCAGAGAGTAAATACTCTTTCAGCAGCATATCAATCTATTAGATTTAAAAGTTGAGATGTATTAGAATTCCTAACTTTTAAAAAATTGTGCTTGCCTACAGGATTATCTGCCCTCATTCCAATATAATGAAATAATAGGTAACAAACAGCTAATAATACACAGACTGGACATGGTACTATTA